ATCTCCTAAAAGGGGGTATTATTTGTGTAATTTCAGGGATGTGTCATCTGTTGAACTATTGATGAATAACCACCAAGGTATCAAAGCTGAAATTGACGCTCGTAATGACAGTTTCACAACGTGCATTGAACTTGGGAAATCCCTGTTGGCGAGGAAACACTATGCTTCGGAGGAGGTAGGATCCCCGCTTGCTCTGGGGCTATGGGGTGAATGCAGCGGGTGCTAGGATGTACAGTGGCTTTATTTTATGTGTGTAGATGTGCGCACATGCAGAGAAATACGTATCTATATACCATATACACGTGTGCACACACATATGTATACTGATAAAGCTGTTTCAGAACCCCTGCTTCTTTTCGTAGGTCTAGAACAAGGCAGTTACCCTAGGCTCTAGGCCCAGAGCTGTTAATGGGCAGCTCAGAAAACAGTTTTGAGGGCCCTCGGTTCAAACGGTCGGCACCTGCTCTGCCCCTCCATCAGCACCCTTCCTGGGTGACACCCCTTCTCCCTCACACGTGCCGTGGATTGGGTTCCTCTGGGGGAGCGTGGTTGTCGGTTCCTATAGGGTGGTGGTAATCAGAGCGAGCTGACCAGGTCGGTGTGTGGCCCCCTCCAAGGGAATGAATGTCCTCTCAGTCCAGGGCTTTGCCCCCGTGCACTGCCTCTCTGCCTGAATGTGCTCACTGCTGGGAGCCCCAGAGTCGGCTGGGGGTCAGTACATTGTTGGCCTCCTATGTCACAGCGGCTGTGAGAGCCCCCTTCCTCTTGACTCCTTCTGGAAGGCCCCTGTTAACCCTTCCGCGTTTTTCTCTCCTCGTCCCCCGTAGACAGACTAAACAGCTCTTGGGTATTCCCTGGCTTACTGGCAGTCTCTACAGACAAGTGTCTTTGTCTTGCATGAGATGACCAGTCAAGGGGACAACCAGGAAGATGTGATGTGTATTCAGATGTCCCGGGCTTTTTTTCTCACAGATCAAGGAAAAGTTACTGCAGCTGACAGAGAAGAGAAAAGAAATGATTGACAAGTGGGAAGACCGATGGGAATGGTTAAGACTGAGTAAGGACATGCTTTGTTCATCTTTCTGCCCTTCCTGGGTGTCCAGGGAAAGCATATGAGCTTATTTTCCTGCTTTAATTAATGCTGTGTTACTCGTTCATGAATTTCGTAGTTGTCAGCGCTTCATGTTTGAATGCCCTGTTTCACCATTTCATGCTAAATGCTATTTTTAGAAAGTGCCCTGTGGCACAGCCAG